TAATGAAAACATGCAGTGAAGAATTGTGTATCAGTTTTGCACTTTCTCCCTTGGTGTGCCTCTCACTGTAAGTTGGGGACTTGCCTTCCCCCTTAACCAGAGAGCACAGCTGTTGTCCATGAGGAATCTGGGCAGTGTCTGGGGACTATGAGCCCAGACGTCTCACTCCAAGAACCATCTGGGTCCAAAGCCTCAGCAAAAACTCTCTTCTCCACCTCCACTTCCACCCTGGCTGGATACCCTCATTAGGTCACATGAACTTTTAAAAAGAATATGAGAAAAGCCGGGCTTGGTGGCTCAGCCTGTAATCCTGCACCTTTGGGAGGTTGAGGTGAGTGGATTGCCTGAGCCCGCGGGTTCGAGACCCCCCTGCGCAGCGAGACCTCATCTCTACAGTAAATCAAAAATTCAGCCGGGCATGGTAGCGCATGCCTGTAATTCCGGCTACTCAGAAGGCTGAGGCGGAAGGATCGCCGGAGCCCAGCAGGTCGAGGCTGTGGTGGCCGGGAGCGGCCACTGCACTCCAGTCTGGGCGACAGAGTGAGACTCCAACTCAAAAAAAAAAAAAAATATGAGAAAGAACGTGAGTATTGTAAATGCTTAAGACTATTTGCTCCAGATACACTCATTAACAGGTAGAGAACTAAAGCTAAGCAATAAGCAACATGTTCTGGGTCACAGAACAGATTCAAAACTAAAACAAGTCACTAGGTTGCCAACCATAGCATTGGTTTTACTTTATAATTAATAAGTAATGTAGGAAAATTGCAAAATACATATTAACAAAAGAAAAATACATATATGTATTCTTTCTTTAAAAATTAGATCATGGGGCAACTCCTTTGAGTTTCCTCCCACTGTGGGAGCTTTTCTGCCCTCTCAATAAATCCTGCTTTCTAATTTTTTAAAAAAAAAAATTAGATCATAATATGAGCATTTTTGTAACTTGCTTTTTCATTAATATGTTCGCATACTTTGAGTATCTTTCTACACCAATAAATATACTTCTACCCCAATGTTTTTCATGTTTAGTCTTTCATGGTACCATAATTTAACCATTACCCTATTTTGTTGTTGTTGTTGTTGAGTTGGAGTCTCACTGTTGCCCAGACTGGAATGCACTGGCACACATATGGCCACAGCAGCCTTGACCTGCTAGACTCAGGTAATCCTGCCTCTGCCTTCCAAGTAACTGAAATTACAGGCACATGCCACCACACCAAGATAATTTTTATTTTTTTTATTTATTGTAGAGATGAGGTCTCGCCAAGTGCCCAGTCCGGTCTCAAACCTATGGGCTCAGGCATTCTCTCACCTCAGCCTCCCAAAGTGCTGGGATTATAGGCATGAGCCATTGCACCCAGCTCCTATTCCCCTGTTGTCCAATATTTGTTTCCAGCTGAGGAAGAAAATTATTTTTAGGCACAATTTTTATGATTTTTGGATTAAAATATTTTCTTATTAATTATAATTTATTAATTGTCCTCTGAGACATAAAAACCTTAAATGGTTTCCTGAATTTGCTCAATAAATCTCCTTTGCCACCATCCTTTTTTTTTTTTTTTTTTTTTGAGTTGGAGTGTCACTCTGTCGCCCAGGCTGGAGTGCAATGGCATGCTCACGGCCCCTGCAGCCTAGACCTGCTGGGTTCAGGCTGTCCTTCCTCCTCAGCCTTCTAAGTAGCTAGAACTACTGGTGCGAGCTACCATGCCCAACTAGGTTTTTGTTTGTTTTTTGTTTTTATTATAGGTATGAGGTCTCGCCCTGTGGTTCAGGCTGGTCTTGAATTCCTGAGCTCAGGCAATCCTCTCACCTCTGCCTCCTAGAGTGCTGGGATTATAGACATGAGCCACCACACCCAGGCACCACCATCCTTTAAGATAGCATAAATTATAACTAAATATTCCTTAGTTATGCATTTTAGATTTACAAACAAATTCACAGATGGAGAGGGAAAGTGGTTCTTTCCTTATCAGTTTATAAATTAAAGAATAAGAGTTTCCTTGGTAACAATAGTGACAGGGCAGGAATCCACACCCCTGTGGTGCATACAAGCAGCGTTTCTGAAAAGAAGATGTATCATCAAACATTATACGTATTAAGGTTTATTTATTTATTTATTTATTTATTTGAGTTGAAGTCTCACTCTGTCACCTAGACTGGAGTGCAGTGCCTGCTCCTGGCCACTGCAGCCTCGACCTGCTGGGTTCTGGTGATCCTTCCGCCTCAGCCTTCTGAGTAGCTGGAACTACAGGCGCACGCTACCACACCCAGCTAATTTTTTGATTTATTGTAGAGATGAGGTCTCCCTAAGTTGCCCGGGTGGGTCTTGAACCCACAGGCTCAGGCAATCCACTCACCTCAGCCTCCCAATGCGGGATTACAGGCTGAGCCACGGAGCCCGGCTGGTTTTTTTATTTTTAAAAGCAAAAAGAATTATCCACAATTAATTAGTTCAGAGGAAAGTGCTCATTAAGCATCTATTCTGTTCCAGACACATTTCTAGGCAGTGGCAATAGGGACTGTGCAGGATTAAAAAAATCTAATAGAGGAAACTGACATTGATCAGCTAATCGTCCTATTGAATATGTAATGACAAAGGTAAGTGCCCAGAGCAGAAGAGCCCAGTGCTATAAGCACTTGGACCTGGACTGGAGTCAGCAGTGACTTCCCCAAGAAAATGAGACTTGAGCTGGGCTCTGATAGACGAATGAGCACTAACTAATCAGGTGGGGAGGATTGTTCAAAGCCCCAAAAACAGAGGGAGCATGACAAACGCTGAAGGAAGGCCAGTGTGGTTGGAACTCAGCATGTAAGAAGGGAGACCAGATCGTGCAGGGCCTCCTAGCCCGTGGTAAAGAGATTGATTTAGAGACTTCCTCCCAAAAGCTATAGGAAGCCATTAAAAAGTTTTAAGCAGTGAATAACATGACACCTGAATGTCCCAGGGACATCTGTAATTCAATATGTACAACATCCAATTTAATTATCCCTCCTATTTACCAATTTCTGCAACTGGCACAACCATTCTTCTAGTCAATTTAAAACTGCCTGCTCAGGTCAGGCATGGTGGTTCACACCCATAATCCCAACACTTATGAGGGCCAAGATGAGAGGATTGTTTGAGGCCAGGAGTTCAAGACTAGCGGGGGCAACATAGGGAGACTCTGTCTCTATTTTAAATACTTTTGTAAAAACATCTGTCCACTCTCCCTTTATCCTTCATCCAATCAGTTATCAATGTATTCCAAATTTTCCTAATTCTATTTCCATGGTAACAAATATAGTCAGTGTCTTTTTTGCTATCATCATTTCGGTTTAAACCCTCTACTTCTTGCCTGGACTACTCTCGTAACCTTTGAATTGTCCCCACTTCTACTTACTCTCACCTTTCCCCCCAAACCAACTGATAGGACAACCTTCTACCATCCTTCAAGGTCCACTTTGGCCCCCAGTAGTGCGGTCTTACCGTCCCTTAGGCTCTCTCAGCACTCTGTAATTCTGATATTAGGTAGCTTGATTGATGAGATTCTGTTCTCCTTTTATTTCCTACTGTGAGTAGTTAACGCCTTGCACCTAATACTGTTCAATAAGCCTTGACTAGAGGGATTGAGAACAAGTTTAAAATGGACTCTCTGCTCCACTTAACTTAGAAAAAGCACTCCCCTGCTGACTCCACTAGGTCTTCTCAAACTAGGAAGGAGCAGACCAGCTTTGTGATGTGCCATGTCATGCCCTCACTGTCTAGTCAATGCTGTACTCTGGTACTGCAGAGAAGGGCAGGGCTAATGTTACTTTTTTGTTTTTTTTTGAGTTGGAGTCTCACTCTGTCACCCAGGCTGGAAGGCAGTGGCATGCTGCTCACGGCCTTCGCAGCCTTGACCTGCTGGGCTCAGGCGATCCCTCCTCCTCAGCTTTCCAAGTAGCTGGAACTGCCTGCATGCACCACCTTGCCCAGCTAATTTTTATTTATTTATTTGCTTATTTATTTGTTGTAGAGATAAGGTCTTGCGAAGTTGCCCAGGCTGGTATCAAACCCGCGGGCTCAGGCAGTCCTCTCACTTCAGCCTCCCAAAGTGCTGGGATTATAGACATGAGCCACCGTGCCCAGCCCTAATGTTACTTTTTACCCTGTAAAGAATATGGACCCTTCTTGAACAGTTCAGAAAAATCACAGCAGAAAATATGAGAGTGGCATTAACAAAGACTTAGAAGTGTGAGAAGTGCCTCAGAGCGTGTAATAGACCAGTTGCCTGTGATGGATAAACAGACCCACATAGAGGAAAAGCTGCTAATTAGAGGGGCCAAAGGAGTGTTCGTTGTTCCTGTGGACTTGACCACATGGGTAGGGGTGGCAGAGTTTCCTTACTACCTAATTCAGGAATCCTCTAAAAACGGGTTCATTCACTCTGACTTAAAAAGTAAGCATGTGATAGGGATTATCCTTGGTTGGATTGTGCACAGCACTTATTGGAGGAACTTTCCTTCAATCAGAAGGCCTGGAATGTGTTGATGCCAGCTTGCTATAAGCTTTAAGTCCTTTTGTAGAGTAGAGGGGACACTTGGGCTCTGAGCTCCTCAACTATTTCATAGTAGCAGAGGCATGGGACCTCTCTCTTCCTGGACCACTGGGACCCCTGACCAAATTTGCTTTAGGACAAGAAGAAAGACCATCTCGCAACTTGAAAAGTGCTTTCCAGTTTACTAAACACTGTTAAGCCCATTTTCTTATGTTATTCTCATGACAGTCCTGTGAAGTGGGCTGGGCAGATAGCCCTCATTCCAGAGATGAGAAAACAGAAGTCACAGGGCCAGTCAGAAGTAGAACCAAAGGCTTTGGACCCCTTAGCACGTGCTTTCTCTACCCCCACCCCACCATGTTACTGAGTTCTGGAAAAGGGAGAAACCATTTAATAGCACTCAGCTCTTAGGTTGAAACTGACTGACCCAACATGCTCAGTCACTGGCTGAATCTGTGCCCCTCTGCTTTTTGACCACAGAGCCATGGGGGTGTTGATGTCCAAGCGGCAGACAGTGGAGCAGGTACAGAAGGTGAGCCTGGCTGTGTCTGCCTTCAAGGAGGGGCTGCGGGACAGGCCTTCCATCCGACGCACGGGTGAGCTACCGGGGTCCCGCCGTGGCACTGTGGAGGGCTCGGTCCAGGAGGTGCAGGAGGAGAAAGATGCAGAGTCAGGCGCCCCAGTGGTCCAGGAAGAGAGCAGTGTCAAACGTGCAGCCTGGGAGCGGCTCCGAGATGGGCGTGGAGTAGAGCCTGAGGAGTTTGACGGGACCAGTCGTTTCACACCCCCTGCCTTCATCCGCCCCACCCGGAAGCTGGATGATGACAAGCCTCCAGAAATCCGCTTGGAGCCCAGAGAGCCTGTGAGTGTCCATTTAGGGCAGGATCTTCAAGTCTTGGCCCATTGGAGGCTAGGGAGCAGAACAGAGAGCTTGGGATAGAGTTAAGGTGAGATTCAAGACCAGAAAGATGGAGCCAAGACCAAAACAATGATTGAATTTCTTTCACAAAAATAAAATGTTTGTTACATCTTGAGTTCATCTTAATGAAAGACTTGGGGCGATGGGCGATAAGGAATGGCACCATGGCAGATCTTCTGCCAAGCCTACCACCTGTGGGTTCTCAACCACAGATATTACTACCTCTTGTAGGATACATTCTAAAATTTGGGAAGGTCACAATGTCTGGGGGGTTACTACTGGTGTTCGGTGCCAAGAAAGCCAGGGATGCTCAATGTCCTGCAGTGCCTGGGACAATGTGTCACAGCAGACTGTTCTTTCCAAAAAATACCAGCAGCATCCCTGCTCACAACATGGTCATTAAGGCCTGGGCAGTTGGAAGAGCCCCCTGGTTCTTGTCCTCCAGAAAGAAGGCTTGTCACCTTAACAGTGGCTTCATTTGGAGCTGTTCCTCTAGGGTGGTCCAGGGAGAGTCAGCCCCATGCAGGTAGCTCTATGCTTAGTGACCACAGGATCTTGTTGCCTATGTTTAGACATCCCTGTTCACTCCTGCCATCTCTCCACAGGTTGTCAACGATGAGATGTGTGATGTCTGTGAGGTCTGGACAGCTGAGAGCCTTTTCCCATGCAGGGTTTGCACCAGGGTTTTCCATGATGGCTGCCTGCGCCGCATGGGCTACGTCCAGGAAGACAGTGCAGCGGAGGTGATGGAGATGGCCCACACGGAAACAGGCTGGAGCTGCCACTACTGTGTGAGCCTGAACTGCAGGGATAGCAGACTTGGTTTTCCCTGAAGGCCTAGTCATGGGTCACTTGTTACTAAGCAGTGGCCTAAGGAGTTTCCTAGTAATGCATACAAGGGTCTTATAGCTAGGGTGGGTTTTTTGACCTGGAACTATTGACGTGTTGGAGGCTGAATGCATTGTAGGATGTTGAGCAGCATCCCTCGCCTTTACTTCATGCCAGTAGCACACACCTCACTACCAGATGTGGAGGGAGCAAAATCACCCTGAGAGCAATGGAGTGAAAGGATTGACGGGGTGGAATGAGACCCAATTACTTAAAAGTAATTCTGCTTGGAGCAGTGCTTTCTCTAATAGTCCATAGATGTCATTCATTGTATTTATTTAAAAAACCAATGTGAGAGCCTAACCAGCTTTCTTCCAGTAGGGATAGATTCTATCACAAGAAAACTTCTTAGTCCTGAGATCCTCACTCAGCCTGCCACCTCACTCTTAGAAGCATTTTCTCTTCATCTCTAAAGGAGTCATTGTGTGAATTAACTAACAAAGCTCTATTGATTCAGAACTTTGCAATTTATATATGAATGCCGTCCAGCTTTTAATGAAGGACAGAGTCTGAGGTTTCCAGTGAAAGCCAGGCTCATATCCATTTCTCACCACACCTGAACAGAGTTCAAGTTTTGCCTTATTGATGTGTTGTCCTGCTGATGTCTTCAGATTCACTGATTTCAGAGGAAGGAGCACCTGCTGATCCCCCTCTTCTTCCTGCTGCCTACAAGAAAGCGGAGATGTGCCACTTTCTAACAAATTACTCTCTCTCTCTATGGCTTGGTGTCTGTGAAATGAAGAACAGAACAGTATCTTCAGCCACTTAAACACCTCTCCCCTGAGTAAGCCACAGCAGATCCTGCTCTACAAATGACTTTCTCTGGTCCCTGTCAGCACCCTCCAGATGCCAGCCTTCTCACTCTTAGCCACTCTGTTCTGGGGTGTGCTGCTGCTCTGGCACTGGGTGGAAAGTGTCTCCTCCCTAACCCCCAGGAACACACTGCTCCCTTCCCAGCTCCCTGTCACAGCCCTACCGTCATTACCATCACACTCCACTGAGTGCTTACAAAGGCTTCTTCCAAGTTCCTCCCTTAGCTCTCCTTCCCTTCACTGTCAGGCTTCTTAAAAGAGCTTCATCGTCTCCTCATGGTCCTCAGTCACCTAAAATTTGACTTCTGCATCCATCATTTTGCTTAAGTGTGTCTTCCTAAGGTCACCAGTGACTTCCTAATTATCAAGTCCAGTGGCCATTTCTCAGGCATTTTCTGACTCGACCTCTCTGAAGTATTTAGCACCTTGTTTTTCCCCCACCTCACACTTTTTTAAAGATTTGCATATTTTTATGAGAATTATTACATAAGATATGGAAACTAGAGAAAATAGAAAATCGATAAAAATCTCACCTCCCTCACATAACCACTGTTAACATTACCCACTTCCTTGTGCAGCTCTCATTTGCTTGGTGTCCAGCACCCTCCTCTCTACTGACTCTTCTCCAGCCTTCTCTGATCATTCTGTCTCAGTGCCATCCTTTCGTTTCTTGATGAACTAACTGCTGGTGTTTCTCAGGGTTCTGTTGCTAACGCTCTTCTTTTCTCACTGTACACTCTCTCTTTGGGTAACTTCATCTGCAGCCATGATCTGAACACTAATATAATACTCCCATATCTGTGTGTTCAGACTTAAATTTCCTGTCTCTTGAACTTATCTACCTTGGTGTCTCACAGGTACTTCATACTCAACATGCCTCAAAATGAACTCATCTTTGTCCCAAAATGTGTTCTTCTGTTTCTTATCGCAGTGAATGTAATCTCCCCCGCCCCATCCCCCCAGTTCCCAATCCCAGCTCATCTCTCTCCCTCATGCCTGACATCCGTAAGTCAACGGGTCCTGTTGAGTGTGCCTCTGATAGTTCTCAGGTCTCCTCTGCTTAGCCACTCATCTTTTCTCACCTGTATTATTGCAGCAGCCACCTAAGTGCTCTCCGTGCCTCCAAACTCTGCCCTTCCGATCCATTTTCCACACAGCTGTTAGAGATCTGACCATGGGACTCCCTCCTTAAAAATCCTTCAATGCCGGGTGCGGTGGCTCAAGCCTGTAATCCCAGCACTCTGGGAGGCCAAGGCAAGAGGATTCCCTGAGCTTGCGGGTTCGAGACCAGCCTGGGCAGCATGGCAGAACCTTGTCTCTAAATCAAAAAACTATTCGGGCGTGGTAGCGTGTGCCTGTACTTCCGCCTACTTGGAAAGCTGAGGCGGAAGGATCGCGGGAGCCTAGCACGTTGATGCTGGGGCGGCCATGAGTGTGCCACTGCACTCCAGCCTGGGTGACAGAATGAGACCCCCAACTCAAAAAAAAAAGCAAAAGAACGCTTCAGGGGCTCACTTTTGCCCTTAGAATAAAGACCTAATTCGAGGGACTCAATAAAGGGCGTTGGAGATACTTTGCAGCAGGCTCCTTGCCCTCCTCTCTCACACACGCACACTCTAGACAGCCACACTGAGCATCTCACAGTGTTATACACCTGGTATATACTAGGCATTCAGTAAGTGTTTATTGAAAAAATAGTTTGAGTCTATGGCCATACCACCCTGAACACGCCTGGTTTCATCTGAAAGAATGGTTTGGAAAAAAATACAACTATTATATATCAATGTTTAAGGTGTTGTGGAAAAAATGAATGGTTTGATTTCTTTATAAGATCCACAAATGAACACTCTTGTTCCTTGATGATATTTTGGGGGGAAAAGTAACCTTTTACCGAAAGAATCTTTGATAGTGTAAAGACTGTATAGTAATGCTAACAAAATTAGGTATCAGTGCTGCTTTGGAATTAAAACTTCTGTGGCTTTAGGAACCTTCTCATGATAGTGTCTTTTAAAACCACTCTGGAGTTATTTTTAGTGATACAACCCACTAGAAGCAGAGCTAGGATTAAATTTTTTTTTTAAACTAAAATGCTCTTTGAGCACAGCCTAACACAGAAGCCAAGTACATAAAGTAGTTATAAAGATAGAGCTGCCACCAGCAGCTGTAATCCCAGCACTTTGGGAGGCTGAGGCAAGAGGATTGCCTGAGCTTAGGGGTTCAAGACCAGCCTAAGCAACATGGCGAGAACTCGTCTCTACAATAAATCAAAAATTAGCCAGGCTTGGCAGCATTCACCTGTGGTTCCAGCTATTGAAAGGCTGAGGTAGGTGGAAGGATCACCTGAGCCCACTCACTAGCCCCCCCCCCCCCCCGGTTCTCAGCAGCTTTCTGAGGCTAAAGCAATCCCAAGGTTAGCTCAGGGAATCATTGGAAAACCACTATTTTAGTAAAAGGGACTCAAGGATGGAGTCAGGATATCTGGGTTCTGTGGAAGATTCCACTCCAGAGTTTAGGCAACTCTGAGCAAGTCCTTTCCCCTTGCTGGGGCCACAGTCTCCTTAGTTGTGAATGGGAGGCTGGGATTAGATGTTCTTGGCTTTCTAGTGTGGAATACGATTTCCATCCCTCCTGATCCTTGGCCTTTCTTGCTGACCTGAGTAGCCGCTGATTCAACTCTTCCTTATCTTCAGGACAATATCAACCTGCTGCTTACTGAGGAGGAAATGTACAGCCTCACAGAGACCTTTCAGCAGTGTAAAGTCATCCCTGGTAAGGTTGGATGGTGCTGCCAGGATGGAGAGGGGCTGGGCAGATTTCTCCTTCATACTTTCTAGGATGTACCCTGAAAGAAGTAGTCTGGATTTAGGGGGTAGGGGTGGATGGGTCCTTGTTCTTGAGTTGTTGGCCAAAGAGCCTCCTACCTCCTGCCATAGCCTGAGTTGCCCCAGCCATAGGAGACAAAGATTCCGCAAGAGCTGTCGGCCTAGGGGCACTAAGGGTGCCCTGGAGGTGAGTGGAGGTGCTCCAAGGCTGAGGAAGGGTGGGCCTGGCCAGCATGGGGTGCCTCCCACAGATTGCTCCCTGACGCTGGAGGACTTCCTGCGCTACCGCCACCAAGCAGCGAAGCGGGGGGACAGTTGCAGGGCCCTGAGTGAGGAGCAAGAAGAGCAGGCAGCCCGCCAGTTTGCAGCCCTGGACCCTGAACACCGAGGCCACGTAGAGTGGCCTGACTTCTTGTCCCACGAGTCCCTCCTACTTCTGCAGCAGTTGCGTCCCCAGGTGAGGGCCAGCTGGGGTGAACGTCCAAGAGATATTGGGTGACGAAAGAGGCCTGGGAGGCATGCAGGGCAGGTTGGGGGAGCAGTGGGTGCTGTCTGAGCAGGAACCGGTATCAGGAACGGGCTCAGGGTCCATCCGCTGGCAGGTGACCCAGTGCCCAGGTGGGAAAACTGCCCAAGGAAGACTGATTTGCACTGGACCCCACTGGAAATGTTGGTGCTGCCAGAAAGCTCTGGGCAACTTCTAAGGGAGGTTTGCAAAGGTTGAAATGGAGGTGGGATTCTCTGTGGCTCGATGGTTTGCAAGATATTCTCACCTCTAAGATCTAACTTGTGTCTTCCTCCCCAGAACTCTCTGTTGAGGCTTCTGACAGTTAAGGAGCGGGAACGAGCCAGAGCCACCTTCCTGGCCCAGGGCAGTGGGAGCACCATCAGTGAAGCAGAGTGCCACAGGGCTCAGCACTCTTGGTTTTGCAAACGCCCCACGGAGGCTCCTTCCTGCAGCGTCAGGTCTGCTCCTTACCTGTCCCTGCCCTCACATGGCCTCCTCTCCTCCTTGTTCCTTGCCAGTGAACCTTGGCATGAAAGGTACCTCCCTGCTCCCCCTGCCAATAGCTGAGAGAGAATCCTCCTGTCATCTGCCTGCGGGCTAGGGCCCAGGGCAACCACTACTCTAAACTCTGTGTGGCTGCGTGTCAGAAAAGCCTGGACATGCATGTCCAGAGCCATAGGTTCACCAGATCTGGGAGGGGCCCGATCTTTCACTGACCTGCTTCTAACCATGTGTCCTTGTGCCCAGCAGCATCAGCCATGTGGGTCCCATAGCAGACAGCAGCCCGGCCAGCAGCAGCAGCCAGAGTCAGGATAAGACTCCGGTGCCCACAGAGCAGGAGTCCAGGTGAGGCCGTCTGTACCCGCTGCATCCTGAAACACATACACACAAGTAAGAGAGGGTGTTACTCACTGCCACTCTAAAAATGGCAAGTGCCCACACCAGAAACCAGGCTCCGGTACACATTTGATCCCAGATCCCTAGGGCCAGCCAGCTGGTCTGTTGGCTTGGTAGCACAGCCAGCTGCGAGCATCTCAGGCTCGAGCCAAGGCGTCCCTGAGTTTTGCCTAGGCCACGCCATGCTGCCACGGGGCTCAGGGCTCATGAGCTATCAGGCTCTGCAGCCAGCCTCACCCTCACAACCTTGTTCTTTGCTTCCACTCCAGATTTGTGGACTGGCCCACTTTTCTGCAAGAGAATGTCCTCTACATCTTGGCTGCTCGCCCCAACAGTGCAGCCATTCACCTGAAACCCCAGGATAGCATGGAGCAGAGAAGCTCGGTCCGGGGCCAGTGACATCCTCTTCCTCCTCTCCTTTCTCCCTTTTCTTCACCAACCTCTGGCACTGAGACTCATGGGGATGGGGCACTGCCAGCATCTTAATTTGTCACTGAGCTTTATGGCCCTGAAATCACCGTTCCCCTCACAACAGAGGCAGTGGGTGCACTGCCACAGGGAGAAGCCCTGGGAGCGGTGGCGCATCTGCTCTGGAGCACCCCCTGCCCTTGTGTCACGGACTGGACCTGCCACCACATGCATATGTGCGTGCACACGCACACGTCCATGCCTTCAGAAGCCTGGTTCTTTTTGGTCGTAAAAGGGCAAGAGTTCCTTTGTGAAGCCCCTGGTATAGAGCAGGGGTCTCTGCTCACCCCTTCTGTTGGCCAGCTCTGATTTCTAGTAGATACGTCTCTGGCCAAGTGATTTTAGTAAGGGGATGGCTCACATGCCCTCCTAGAGATGCTGACAGGCTCCCTCTGTCCCCCCTGGACATCCCTCTGCGGTAAGCCATGTTGCTAGTAGGCATGTACTAGGTACCCCAGCTATACAGAAGTGGGAAAAGTTGAAGACCACCACTGCAGTTCAGCCTGTTATTTATTTACATTTCTGGTGACAGAGAAGGCAACCAGCCTGTGGAATCCTGATTGGAAGAGGGGTGGGCAGCCCCTCCTGGAGACCCAGAACTCTAGGATCCCCTCAGCCAGGTTATCTGAGTCCAAAAGTCTGTAGCAGAACAGTCACAAACCAAGGAGAGCCTTGTTGACCCATTTTTCAGATGGTAGCTCAAGGCCCAGAGCCCGAGGGGCCTGAATGGAACAAATATGCTGGCAGGAGTTACACAGCCCTCTGTGTGAGATGCTCCACCAAGTCAGCCACCGCAGACCCATGAGGACAGGGCTCATGCTTTCCCATCGTTCCAGCTCACCTCAACCGTAGACCTGGAAAAGTGTGTTATGGTTTGGAGAACGACAGCCCTAGAAAGAGCAGCTCTGCAGAAGCCCTGAGCAGGCACTCCTGTCAGCCATCCTGATGATGATAGGAGGCCAGGACTGAAGAGGAAGACTGGCATCTCCGCTCTCAAGCAGAGAAGGTCCTGGGAAAGCTTCGCAGAAGGAGAATTTTCCTCCTCTTCCTGTCACTGGGAGTGGCCTGAATTGCTGCTATTCCCCCCTGCTCCCTACATGTCCTTCCCCTCCAGGCTGGGGCCTGGGTCCCGTAAGGGAGGCCTTCTGGGGCAAGCAGAGTCTGCCACAGGGCACCAAATCTGGCCTCCAAGCCCCAGCCTTCCTTCGCAAGTTCTCACCAAGTCTGGAGTCAGTGTGCGTTGTGGGTCAGTCCTGGCCCTGAGGCCTAACTTCTAAGTTTTTGTTTCCAGCCTAATGACTTGGGTGTAGCCAGATCTGACTACCAAGAGTTATTCAAGGGGAGTTGAGCTCAGTCAAGCGGAAGCTTGCATATCTTCACTGCTTGAGGCGCTAGTGCTAAATTGGGTGCTTACAGAAGGAGGAGTGGGCCACTCCGTGTTGAGATGCGGAGAGGAAGTGGGGAGGTGCGGCCAGGGGCTCCGTGAGAGCCCCGTATGGTCGCCTCCTGTAGCAACTTCCTGAGCTGGCAGCAGGGTGGTAAGTTGCTGGAGTTGGACTTTTCAGGGTTGAAGTGAAGACGACAGGATACAAATCTGGGTTCATAGGTATGGCCCTGCACATTTCAAACTCCACAGCTTTTGTAAATACTCTAGCCACACTCCCAGGATTGATCCATGGGAGGGGTCGTTATTCCGTCTAGTCAAAGCAAAGGGGGGGGGGGGAATAGCACATGACTCTTGGGCCCAAAAACTGTATGTGAAGCAGCAGGGCTGGGGTTTTGCACTAAGATTAAAGCACATTAAGCACAGGGGCTCTTGCTTATCCTCCAGGCGAATCACCCTCTGTGCTGGTGGCCTTGGGCTGCCTGATCTCATGGACAGGGCGTTTTGAGTAGAGACCAGCTCTGGGCTTTGAGAGCTGAACAGCTTTTTTCCTCCTGCCTCATCAGTCACAGGAACTGAAGTCCATCTTGTTCCCTGATCCTTCACAGATCAAAGTGATGCCTACCTCTTTGGAGCTGCTGCTTCTAGCTCTCTGTGGGTGAGTGAGGGAGTCTGGGGGCCAGATCAGGCCTGTACATCCCAGGGCCTGGCGCAGCAGCCTCGGAGTTCTTCCTCAGCAGGAGCAGGCCCATCTGGGAGCCCCCTTCCCCCTCTTCCAGGAGAGCAAGCTTCCTTGGCGGGGCCTGCTGCGGGGGACCCAGGGGACATTGCCCCGGCAAAGAATGGAGTTCCCAGTCCACAGGAGTTCTCGGAAGCAGAAAAGCACAGAGGAGCAGCCGGCCTCTTCTCCCTAGTATCTAGCTTTTTACCAAAGGGGCGGTTCCATGCTCCCCCTGTCCAGAGTTGCAGAAGCCCCACCCCGAGCTGTCCAGAATCTCCCTTTGCAGTGTCCTAACCCTTAGCCCCCCTCTGCGGTACCAGTACTATAGAGTTGTTAAAGCTTTTGTAAACCTAGTGAGGCCTGTGCCCTTTCCTTTTCAAGCCCTTTCATCACTGTGACTCTATAAAGTCCTGCCAGGTACACATAGAAAATGAGCGTCTGGCTCTAATAAGGATATGAGAAAATGTTTCCGTCTTTTCTCAGCTGCACAAAATCGAGATCCGTGCTTCCCACCAAGGCGGGCTTGAGTTAAAGTTAGGCTCCTCTGAACACCACTTATCCTAAGATAGTTTTCCCCCCAGCATTCCTCGTCCCCATGTTCAGAATTAAATACAGGGGCAGCTGGGTGACCCAGGAGAGCTGCAGGGACAGAGGGGCAGCTGAGGCAGTGGCCATGGTCAGATGGTCTCTCTAACCTCTCTAGTTCTGCTCCTTGGCTTCCTCTCCTGAGGCCAGCCCTCCCCAACAGAACATTTGAGCGGTGGCCCCTATGATATCCCAGGGATGGAGCAGTCCCCTCACTCGCAGGTACTGATTCAACTCGCAAGTGCTCTTCTTCCTTTGAGGACAGCAGCAGAAACCATGAGTACATTGCCTCGTTCTGCCCTCAGCCCAAGTGATGGGCTGGCAGGGCAGACACCGGCCTTTCTGGCCCTGGTGCTCCCCGTGGGATGTCACCCTGGCCTTGTTTAAGTGGCTGAGTCTCGAGGTTCCCCTATTCCTATCACCAATATGGGAAGCACAGAATTAAATCACCAGGGAAGAGGGCACCTCACTGGGGAGTGAGCCTCAGGGTTGTACCCAGGCTTCACAGCCCGAAGCACAACATCAACCACTGCAGTATCATAGCTTCAGTAAGAAGGTGCCAGGAAACCCTAAAGCCAAGGGGAAGCACAGCAGGGGCTGCTGGCGGGGTCCCAGGCCAGCCATGACCACCCCAGAGCCAAGCGTAACCTCAAAGCAGGACGGGTAGCAGGTTCCAGTGATCCTGCAAGCATGTTCCCTTTAAACCAGAGTGAAGACAGATATATTCTTGGCACTAAAAGGCAGAACAACCTTGACACCAGAATTCAGGACATCCTGGCAGCACCTCTGATCATCGTCCCTTTCTACTCTCACCCCTATTTCTAGTGAAATAAAATTGCTGCTTTCTCCAGGTCACTTAGTTGGAGTTTGCCCAGGATACCTCTCTGGGCCCCTGGCTGTAGCCCAGACAAGGGAGCTCTCCTGGTGTGGGGGATATTAGTACATCATGCCTCTTCCTGACAGCTCAGCCCTGGTGTGTGGTGGGCCTGGGCATTTTCCCTGCTGTTGTTTTCCTGCTGCCACTATTTTTGGCAACCTTGAACAGAAAATGAACTGATTACAGAATTTCCACCACACCCAACTAGCACTAAGGAAAAGCTTCTTCCCTCTGGGCCACATGCCCCAATGACCCAGAGCATGGAGACGGGGTCAGGACTGGGCCAGCGACTGAGAAGCCCAACCACATTCCAGTCCGTACAGCACTGGGTAGGCACAACCCCAGACGAGAACGTCAGGGTATACTAGCACGGCCTATCCGAATCCACAGTGAAGCAAAGGCCTTCAAGCTTAGCTTCCAGCCATTAAGGGCTGGCCTATGATCTGTCTTCCAGCCAAACACAGGCTTGTGAGGGGAACTCTGAGAGCACTTGGGTAGCCAAGGAGGATCCAATGCCCTCTGGTCCCTCATGCCCTTCCCATGTGCTTTTCTGCGGAAGGTAACTTGACAGTAAGCTGAGGGGAACATCCTCAAGCCCTGTCTTCTTCCCACCTACAGCTGCATGCTCCTCCCTACGGCCCAGCCTTCACGGGCACTCCTAGGAGCTGATGCTCCCAGGGGCTGGACGGCTGTGGAAATCATAATAAAGAGATTGTGATGCTATTGTGGCTTTCTCTTTCTTGTTTGGGGAACCTGCCATGTCTGTGGTTTCCCATCATTGACCAATTCCTGGGTCTGGATATAAGACAGGCAGCCATGGTTCTCCTTTTAGAGCTTTCCTGGCCCTGACCTTCCCAAGACTTAAATGAGGGGTGGGGGTAGGGGCACCACCCAGATACCAAGATGCAGATATGTCTGTATCCACCGCGGTACAGAGTGGAATGGGGGGCGCTGAAGGGAGGAGCCAGAGCTATTGGAGAAACTGAGGAAGAGGTACTAAGGTCTCTGAGCCTGTCTGCTATGTTTACCCCACCCCCACCAAGGGCCAGTTTAAGACACTTTCCCAGTTTCTGCTGAGCTACAAAGTAGGGAAGCTTGTTGACTGGCTTCTGGTCTGGGCCCTCCCAGGTCTGAGAGTTTCTGTTTGTACAAATTATTCTAATGTGGTACCCTATTCTGGGAAAACTAAGGTCTAGAGAAGTGTTTGGAAGACTTTGGGATCCTGGTACCTGTAGGTGGGAAAGTTTCTCTAGGCTGTGGTCAGAGGTAGGTACTCTGTCTCCAAAACTGTGGGGATTCCACATACAAGTAATTACTAACACCTTTGAGCACTTGCAGTGCACTGGGCACTGCTTGCATAGGATAGTTCATCTTCAAACCAACCCTATGACATTTGTATTACAGATGAGAAAAGTGAGGAACAGAGCCCAGGTTTCTGGAGTTTACACAATCACACAGCTAGGAGGTGGGGGAACCAGGAAGTTCACCTTCAGCGCCCAGGTGCTTAGCCACTTTCTTGTACTGCCTGCCAAAATACATCTCATGGGAACCACTGCTGTGTGGTCCGGCCTGCAAATGGACACAGACAGGTAGCCGGGTCTGTAGCCATGACAGAGATTTCTTACCACCTATGATCTGTCTCCCAGTCAAACAGATTTGTGAGGGGGACTCTGAGAGCACTTGGGTAACCAAGGAGGATCCCTTGCCCTCTGGTCCCTTATGCCTTCCCTATGTGCTCATCCCCCTTGCCAGCTTCCCATTCCACTCCTCCCTGGAGTTTCCCCACGGAGGCCATCAAACTCAGAGCAGCTTAATGACATCCTGCCAGCCTCTTCTTTTCTCTGGACTCAGTGAAGCTAAACTGGGACAGAAAAAGAGGTATAAAGGTAAGTCTCCGTGGGTGCTAATGAACAAGGTTCCCCCACTCTAAGTCCAGCAGTCCTGACTGGAACTTTATTTTTTTTATTTATGCATTTGTTTATTTATTTATTTTGAGTTGGAGTCTCAAATTGTTGGGCTCAGGTGATCCTTCCACTTCAGCCTTCCCAGTAGCTGGAACTACAGGCATGCGCCACCACGCCCAGCTAATTTTTCTTGATTTATTGTAGAGATGAGGACTTACCAAGTTGCCCAGCCTGGTCCTCAAACCCCTGGGCTCAGGCGATCCTATCACCTCAGCCTCCCAACGTGCTGGGATTATAGGCATGAGTCACCACGCCCAGCCTCTGGCTGAAACTTTAAACCCTTCGAGGACTGTTCCTCCCACCAACTGCCACTTGCTCCGAGGCGGCTGACTGGAGTCTCAGGTCCAAGCAAACCTCCACCCTCCCTGTCCTGCTCTGACTCAAATGCCCTCCCTCTTTATCCCTAGGGAAAGTCATTCCCCAAAGAAAGACAATGGCTGCCAAGTTTGTTAAACATAGAGTAGTGTTCTCTCTCCCACCCCATCCTTTCCAGGCTTGCTTGGAGTTTGGCTTTGCTGAAACTCATCTGTAAAAATCTGGAAAACAGTCCCTGTCCTGTCACCCCACTCCCCCGGGCTGGTCGTTGAGTAAAGACAGGATTTGGGGTGAGGAGAGAGCTTTATACATCGTAAGTCACTGAGCGAGGACCAGGATTTCTGCTCCCTGTCAAGGTTCTGAGTCTATCATCCCATCCTCCCACAGTCCCAGGCATAGCTAGGGCGCCTTGGTGGCCTCTGTCCACAGTGCTGAAGTCACAGCCAAGCCAGCTGGGGACCTTAAGTCCCTCTTTGTCCCACCTTTAAGGAAACATCAAGTGCAGAGATTTACAAGCCAAAAGATTGCTCCAAAACTCAGAAAGTATTGCCAATTTTTAAATTTCATGTGGTTTCAGTATCTTTGTTTTTTAAAATAAATAAAACTCCCCTCTCAAAATCATAACACATACAAAGGGGCAAGAAGTGATTTAGCAGCTCAGAGAGAAAAGAGCATGTGGTCTTAACTTGGTATGGGTGACAGCAGGAGATGGCTACCAAAAACCAGGCTGATCAAATCTGAGGCTACGTGGGAAGAAGTGCGGAGTCAGAGGAGGGAGGCAGGCCGGCTCACTTGTCCCCTGGAAAAGGCTCATCAGGACCAGGCACCACTAACCGAACCTGTTCAGGGTCCATGATCTTCATGGCTGGAATCAAAGAGGGCAGGGGAGGAACCCACAAAGGCACGAGTCCTGGAGAGGAGCAGCCGCAAGGGACGCAGACAGTGATGTTTGGGAAGATGAGGCCAAGGCCGTCAATGTGGTCTCTCGGATAGAGCTAAGATGAATAGTAAATGCATGGGGAGGCAGATTTCTGCTCAACTGGACCAAGAGAAACTGGATACCAGGAAGGCAGTGAAGATGTACAAGCATGTGACAGGAATGTGGAGTTGGGGATGGGATGGCTTACCAGGTACCCAGTTCTCGAGACCTGAGATGCCAGGAAACGGTTAAGCACCTCCTGGTGCGTGCCCACCCGAGTCCGGCTGCGCCAGCGGGAGAAGATCCATGACTTTAAGGACCCACATCAGCCCAGAGTTTTGGCATCAGACTTTGGGAACTTTCTCTTGAGTTCACAGGTAGGCTCTTGGAAGCTCGCCTCTAAGACCCTGATGCTGCACGCCCTCTGCCGGTCATCCCTAACGCTGTTCTCTCACCCCAAGGCAGGAAGCAACCCCTTGGAACCCTTATGGTATAGTGGTCAGTGTAGGTTCAAAACATGCCGGGAAACGCCGGTGAGTACCAGGGGGTTAGAGCCTGGTTAGCGTTCAGTTAATATATAGGATCAGAACTAAATCTGAGGATGAGATCAAGCGTCAAGGGCTCAGCCATATATTGTCTAGGAGGACAATTTACACTGAGGCTGGATTTGGGGAATTGTCTCGCCCAGGACGATGTAACCAGGCTCAGTCTCAGATGGGACTCAGTGCGGGACCAAAGTCTGTGCTCAGGTGTCAGCATAAAGTATGTATCAGGTGAGATGCTAAGAGTCTGACCACAGGAAGGAGTCCGTCTGCATCCAAGGCAATGAGTCATCAGAGCATTCCTGCGCCCTGGGGAAGCATCAGGTAATGAGCACCTAGTCTCTGGAGAACTCAAGCAGAGATACTGCCCAGGGGAGAGGTATGAGGGATGGAGGACAGAATGGGGTAGTCACTAATTTCTAAGGAACACCCAACTTTTTTTTTTGAGTTGGAGCCTCACTCATGTTGCCCAGGCTGGAGTGCAGTGGCACGCTCACAGCCACCGCAGCCTCGATCCGCTGGGCTGAGGCTGCCAGTGGATGCACATGTTTGTGATTTATTGTAGAGACGAGGTCTCACAAGTTGCCCAGGCTAGTCTCGAACCCCTAGGCTCAGGCAATCCTCTCACCTAGGCCTCCCAAAGTGCTGGGATTACAGGCTGGGTCACCACATCCCGCCGGAACTCCCAACTTTAAAGATGGCAATGGACAGGCTGAGGAGTCCCCCTTTCCCTCTGTATTCTAGTATCCCAGTATTCTAGTTCTCACCTTCAGCCCTCAACACACACATGAGTACTACCACATACAAATCATAGGTACAATCTGGGGAGAAGAAAGGCCCAAGGGCCAGTTCTGTCACTTCAGAGAGCTGGCCGCTGTGGGGGTAGTCTTCTTTCCCCCCCAGGATTCTCTATTTCTGCTGGCAACAGGGCCTGGCAGCCTCCCACACCCAGATCTTAGCAACCATGGGAGCCCCTGGCAACTGCTGCCATGGTGACAAGACGGGGAACTGAGAACGGGCACTTCCTCTGGAACCTTTGGGATATGTGCTGGATAGGGGGCTCCCCCTCCCATACACAGTCTGGGAGGGAACATGTGCTCCTGTCTAAACACCTCCTCACTGGCACTCACCCCCACCTCTGCCCACAGGTTCCGGTTCCCTCAGGGTGAGGAAATGAGGGACACCTAGGGTTATGACGTCTCCATGGGGAGGGAGGGTGAGTGGGGGTGTTTGGAACTGACATGATCACAGACGCGTGCATCCGCTGGCAGACATGGTGTCACCGTAAGAGCCACATACTTCATCCACACCTCGTCATGCCTACACAGTCATTTAGTCACGCATGTACACTGAAACAAAATCACATGCTTACAACAAATAACAGAATCGGGCACTCCACCACACAGAAGTAATTATGCAGAGACTCTCACTCACAAATCCAAATGACTCCCCATCAGACTCACACATTTATGGATGCACTCGCATATCCAGGTAGCTGTGAACACAGAGTGATGGTTAACTTGGTTAAGAACTAATGCATGCCCACTCAGGACTAAGTGCATTTCATGTGTTGCCTTAATCAACCCTCACACAAACCCTGTGAGGTACTGCTGTTGCCTGTCCCCATTACAAAGAAGGAAGTGGGGCACAAGTGTGGCAAGTAAACACATGAGGTCGACAGTCTGACGCCAGGACCCGTACTCGTACACCCTAAGCCCCACTGTGTATCCTGGTTACACACACACACACACACACCCCAATGCCCAGGACAGAGGGATGGAGGGCGGGAACAGCAAACTCGGCAGGCGATGGAGTCCACACCACCAGCACCTGAAGGCACAATCCCACACCCCCGAAGGTCCCAGCCTACACTTTGGCATTAGGAGAGGCCAGGTAAGGGCTGGTGACTAAACTCTCTGCCTCCGTGTTGGCACAGGCAAGGCTGGAGGAGGCAAAAGAGACAGAACTGGAATAGGAAGAAGC